CTAAGTCTTGTCACATAGCCAATTTCTACATTTATAGACGATTTCAGTAGCCTCTAAACTGAGGGTCTTTTTAAAAAAAATTTTATTTTTATTTTATGTGTATGTGTGTATTGCCTGCATGTAGGTAAGTGCACCCGTATCGTGCAATGCCTGCAGAGGTCAGAAGAGGCTGTCATATCCCTTGGAACTGGAGTTACAGACAGTTGTTAGCTGCCATGTGGGTGCTGGGGTTTGAACATGGGTCTTCTACAAGAACAGCCAGTGTTCTTAACCGCTGAGCTATCTCTCCAGCCCCCTAAACTGAGGGTCTTTTTGTTGCTGTTATTGTTGCTTTTGTTTTTTGAATCAGTATCTCATGTATATGCCTAATGCCCACAGAGGCTGGTAGAGGTCATTGGATCCCCTGGAACTGGATTTAGAAAATGTTGTGAGTGGCCTTGTGGATGCTGGGAACCAAACCTAGGTCCTCTGAAAGTGCAGCTAGTGCTTTTAGTGACCAAGTCATCCCTCCAGCCCTCATGTTTTATTTATTTTTATTTCATTTTTCTTATTATTTATGTGTGTTCATGTATGTTTGCTTGTCTGTATGTGGAGGACAGAGGTTGACAAAGTATCTTCTTCAATCAGTTCTCCATCTTATTTTTTGAGATGGGATCTCTCATTTAGTCTGTAGCTCACTGATTCAGTTAGACTGGCTGATGGCTTTTCGTGTGGGTGCTGGGGGTCCATTCTTATTCAGATCCTCATGTGTGTACTGTAAGCATTTTGCTAACTGAGGTATTTTCCTAACCCCTTCAATGACATTTTAAATACTGGTTTATTTTAGAAAATTTAAGTTAACTATTTCAATTCAAAGTGTCACACTTAAAAATAGCATTGATAATTATGTTTCCATTCTCTTAGCAATTCCTTTGAAAGTATAGCTTAAATTGGCAGCTACATGATTAAGTACAAAATAAAATCAAGGAAGGGAGGTACTGTGCTGGTGCCTTGTCAACAATACAGCAGCCATAGAACAATAGAATTATCTCAGATCCCCTTCAAAGTGGAGCCTCTATTAGGAGTTAATCCTGTCTGCTCTACAAATTCAAGGCACCTCAAACAGTAGATTGCCATCTTATTTGAGGTGATTCGTGATTTAAAGCTTGGAATCCTGGAATTTACGTGGTAAGTCTCAGTCAGTTGATGACTCTTAAACTCTTTATTTCAGTAGGGAATCCAAAGTACTGATAGGTTTATACTTTTTTTTTGGTCTTTTTGAGACACGGTCTCCCTGTAGCCCCAGCTGTCCTGGAACTCACTATGTAGACCAGGCTGACCCTGAACTCACAGAGATCTGCCTGCCTCTGCATCCCAAGTGCTGGGATTAAAGGCGTGCGCCACCACTCCTGGTGGTTTATACTTTTTATAGGCAATAGAAAAAGGGCATCCCAAAGCTCAACTGATTTGAAGGAACCTCTTAGATTTATATATATATATATGAGAGAGAGAGAGAGGTTTCCTTTTAGGAAATGGAGATGCCAGTTAAGATGTCTTTAGGGAAAACAGTAATGAAAACACGGGATTTTGAGGTTATGAGTAGTGATTAGTCATAACTCTAGAGCTGTCCAGTTTGTGCCAGTTGGCCTGTGTAATTAAAGCCTCCCTCTCACTTTAAAATATGCCAGTATATAATCTGTTGAATCAGTCATTTTAGTTTTAGGCTACAGTTTATATCTCTTAATGATTATTGAAATGTGGATGTCTTGAAAGACTCATGTATTAAACAGATTAGGATAGGGACATTTGCATACTTACATGTTGATTAGATTTATTTTTGAATGTTCCTTATATGAATAGCTCATGTTAGATAGCAAACATGCCTTTATTTGGAAGAAAATAATAATTTTTAAGTAGTAAAAGTAATGTAATTTCAATTTAGATAATTTTTGTTTCATCTGTTTTTGTACTTAGATTGAAACTCAAGGACATAAGTAGGGCACATGATTACCTATTTTGTCAGTGTTTGAGTCATGTATTTTACTCTTGTTGAATTATTCCATTTATCACTGATTTTTTTTATCATTTTAGATTTATTTTTGTGTTTTGAGACAGGGTCTTACTGTGTCATCTAAGCTGGCCTCAGATTTACTTCAGGCTTCCTGCCTCAGCCTCCTGAGTGCTGGGATCATAGGCACGTGCTACCATACCGGGCTCCAATCCTCCTTATTTAAAATTCTCTGCTGTGTGATACTATTGTCAAAACAGCTTTGTAACACTGGTGTTTGCATCTTTTTCGGTGCTTTATTCCTATTTTTTCTGTGTCTGTATGTTTCAAGTTTATGTCTTATGTACATCCTATTTTGTGTTCGTATTTTATTATCTAATCTGGCAAGTTTTTTTGTCTTTTCATTGGACTGTTTAGTTAATTTATATTTAATGTCATACAAATGTTGTAGACAAATGACAGGCCTCTCCCCCTTTTTTCTCTTTCTTTTATTTATCATCTCTTCTTTTTTTCTTTTTCTTGTTTTTTTCAGACAGTTCCATTTTCTCCTTCTACCCTGTGGGCCCTGAGCATCAAACTCAGGCTGTCAGCCTTGGTGGCAAGCACTTTTTCCTGCTGAACCATTTGGTGACCCTGTTTCTTTGTTTTTAGAGACAAGGCCTGTGTAGTGGGGCTGGTCTTGAACTTGCTATGAAGATGACCTTGAACTCCTGTCTCTACCACCCACTACTTGAATTATATATATACCACTACTCTTAGCAATAGTTCTCTTCTTAAATTTTCTTGTTTTTCAAGTGTTTTTATTAGTATATATTAATATACACATGGATTTTATTATGACCTTTTCATATATATGTACATAATATGTTTCAATCACATTTACCCCAAGAGCATGAGCAACTTACATGACTACACCACTGAAGAAAATATGCCTTCCTCAGCAACTGTTATCTGCATACAAATTTTCAGGGAGGGATAGGTCTGTGCAAGCTCTTCCCCCTTCCATGACAGGCAGTTGACAGGCCCAACTTTGTAGAGCTCTTGTGCAGGTAATCATAGTTCTTGTGAGTTCAAGAATGCATTCATGACCCAGCATGGTGATGCAGGCCTTTAATCCCAGAACTTGGGAAGAAGAGGCAGGCAGAGCTCTGTGAGATGGAGGTCAGCCTGGTCTACATGGCAAGTTCTAGGCCAGTTGGGGCTACAGGGAGACCATATCTCAAAAGACCAAAAAGAAAAAAAAAAAAATGCAGTGACCATGATTATGGTCATGTCATGATCCTCAAAGTCAGCATGTTCCACATGGCTCCCTGCTTTCCTCTGGCTCTACATTCTTTTCCCCACTTCTTCCTTGATAGTCACTGAGCTTTAGTGGGGTGGATTGTAGTATAAATTTCCCATTATGGCTACACATTGACCATATGAGTAGCTGTAGTCTTATTTTTTTTTTAAAGTTTTTGAGGAACCTCTATACTGAAAAGCTTTAATTTTGATAAAGTCTTAATTTATTCTTATGTTGCTTTTTGTATCATGCCAGTTCATTGCTAAATCCATGATCATGAAATTTTACTTCTATGTTTTCTTCTAAGATGATTTTGTAATTTTAGCTCTCATAATTAAGTCATTACCCATTTGGGGTTAACTTTTATATGGTATGCGTTTAGCCTCACTTTTTTGCATGTGAATTTCTAGTTTTCTCAATACCATTTGTTCAAGACCACTCTATTCCTTAGAATGTTCTTGGCACTTTTTTTCAAAAACCAATTGGCACCCCCCCTCCCAAACACAGTTACCAACTAGTTATATATATTTGAGTTCATTTTTGGGCTTTCTTTTTCTTCCTTTTTCTTTTTTTGCAGTACTGGGGATTGAATTTAGGGCCTCATGCATGCTGGGCAAGTACTCTGCCACTGTCTAATATCCTCTACCTTTTATTTCCTAGCTCTCAGTTCTGTTCCATTTGCCTGTATGTTCTTTTGCCTGTATCTTGCTGTTTTGATTATTCATGCTTTGGATTAATTTGTTAAACTGAGAAATATGATTCTTCCTTGTATTCTTTATGATGGTTTTGAGTATTTGGGGCTTCTTGCAATTTTGTTTAGATTTATGATTGGCTTTCCATTTCTGGGTTTATTGTTCTTTACTGCTAAGTAATACTGTATTGTATGACTTTAAGGCAGTTGGTTTATTCAGACTCTCATTGAGTATACTCTCCTGTTGATGGAGAATGAATTAGCACACGTATTTTATGCTCAGATCTTTTTTCTTTCTCACATTAATTTAGAATTTGGGACTTTTGTTTTTTTCAAATTCTGCCTTGAACGATTTATTTTTAAAAATATTTGTTGCTAAGGAACCAATGACTCTTATATTTCAGCTTTAGAAAATGAAGCATTTGCAAGGCACAGTATTCTCTGTTCATGATTTATACATGATATCAAGAAAGATCACACTTTGAAATTATTTTGCAAATAATTTACCCTCTTTCTTCACAGGTACCTTTTTTATCTCCTTTGGAAGGTCATATTTGTTTAAAAATAAGCTGTCAAGTGAATTCAGATGTTGAGGAGAAAGGTTTTCTAGTAAGTAACATCACCTATTCTTTATTGTCTTCTGTTTTCTATAGAAATGAAAGTCTATGTGATTAAGTGATAAATTGATTTTGTAACGATTTGTTACACACACCTCTAAGACATTCATTATGCTGATGTTAGAATAATAAGACACAAAAAATAATCCTTCCACTTAGAAGCTTTAAATTTTTAAGAATTACATTTATTTATTTTTTCATTTCTTTATTGTGTGTGTATGTGTGTCACATGCATGCTGCACACAATGTGTGTATGGAAGTCAGAGGACAACTTGCAGGAGTTAATTCTTTCCTTCTACCGTGTGGCCTCTAGGAATTGAACTTAGGTTGTGAGGCTTGGCAGTAAGCACCCTTACCCATAAGCCATTGTCCTAGTTTGTTCTTCATTGCAGTGACAAAATACTCTGACCACTACCAACTTGGGGAGGAAAGGGTTTATTTAGCTTACTTATCCCGGGTCACAGTTTCATCCAGGAGCCCAAGGTAGGAACTCAGGGCAGGAACCTGGAGGCAGGAGCTGGAGCACAGGCCATGGAGGAATGCTGGTTACTGGCTTGCTCCCCTGGCTCCTGCTCAGCCTGCTTTCTTATACAGCACAGGCCCACCTACCCAGGGGTGGCACCACTCACAGTGGGCTGCCCCCCCCCCCACCATTCATCAAGAAGATGCCCCTCAGACATGGCCACAGGCCAGTCCAGTAGAGGCAATTCCCCAATTGTGGCTCCCTCAACCCAGGTGTGTCAAGTTGACACTAAAGCTATCCAGCACAGCCATCTTGCCAGCTTAGGAGGAGCTTGTAAATTAGTAGGGAGAAAGTGAACTAGCAAGTACTAATAGTACATGATAGAAGAAATAGTAGGGCCATAGGTGTGAACGATAGAATACCTGTCTTGAGAGTGAATGGGAAGGGTTAAAGAAAGCTGCTAGAAATACTAACTTCTAAACTGCTAATTAAGTTATCAGGGGAAAGGAGAGAAGTACTACAGGTAACTAGAACATCTACACTAACCTGAAAATCTTTCCCTGTCTCACCCCTACACAGAGAGAAGGATGGCATACAGTGGTAGGTTTATTAGTCACTTTTCTGTTGCTGTGATAGACACACTGACCAAAGCAACTTATAGAAGGAAGAGTTTATTTAAGCTTATGGTTCCAAGGGGCAAGAGTCCATCATGGTGGGGAAGCCTGGCATCACAGGTGGCTGGATGAAGAGCAGAAGCTAAGCTCTCACATCTTCAATCAGGCATAGGAAGCAAGAGAGCAACTCAAGATCCCACAAGGCTTAAGAATTCTTTAAGCCCACCCCCAGTGATGTGCTTCCTCCAGCATGGCCACACCTTCTAAGACTTCCCAAAACAGTGCCACCAACTGGGGACAAAAATGTCCAAATACTTGGAGACTATGGGGGACATTTTCATTCAAAGCACTATAGTGGGTATTTCAAGATAGCTAGAGCCTGGGGACAGGGGCAGGAAATGAGGCAACTATGGTTAGAGAAATAGATTAAGTGTCTCAAAGACACTGGACTTCATTCTGCAGCCAGTGAGTGACTATTATAGGGCTTGCAGCAGAGGAGAACATCACATTTGGGATTTAGGATAGTCATTTTTGACTGATTTTTTTTTTTTTTTTTTTTGACTGTGGAAGGTGAACTAAAGAATTGCAAGCCTGAAAGACTGGTTGCAGACTGAGTCATTCCACATGAGAGGTGAGGGAGACCAGCAGTTGGGATGAGGGAAGGCCAGCATGGACAGATGAAGGGCAGATCCTAGTGATCTGTCTGTAGTCAGTGGGGCAGGAGAAGTCAGGACAGTGCTCAGATTGATCCTCCTGTGTACAAGCTGGGTGTCAGGGATGCTGCTGAAGAAAAAGTACTTTGGGGGAAAAAGCGAGCTTCCTCCTCCTTCTGGTACTTGGGTAGGAGTGGTGGGTTTCCTTCAACATTTTATAGTGAAAAACAGCAACCAGCCAGCAATGTTGACATCATTTTCCAATGAACACTCTTTGACTAACATCTAGATTTTATTGTTACCCTGTAATGTTTTTTTCACTATGATTGCTTTACCGCATATTGGCAATATAGCCACCCTCTAATCATTACTCAATCATTTTTATTTTTGTGGAAGAATTTCAAAGTATATTGTAGGTATTAGACATTTTCCCCTAAAATTTAAGTACCTGTTTCCTTTGTTTTACTAAATGTATATACCTCTGTGACCGTGACCCAGATTTCCATTAAGATAAAGACTGTTAAATCACCCCAAAGTTAATTCATGCCTCTTCCTAGTTAATTCCCACCTAAAGTGGAACATTTTAATGAGTTAGGAATTAGCTGTTTCTTCTCTTTCTCTTTCTCTTTCTCTTTCTCTTTCTCTTTCTCTTTCTCCCTCCCTCCTTTCTTATTTATTTATTTATTTATATATTTAATGTGTGTATTATGTATGTGTTCATGTGCACGTGTGCACACATAGAGGGCAGAAGTCAGCCTTTACTGTCAATCAATTCCCAGTGGTATGAGTTAGGGTTTAAACAACTGGAATTGTGGATACTGAGAGATATATTTCAAAGATCCGAGTTTGGAACTTGTGATGGATAGCTTTAGTGTCAACTTGACACACCTGGGTTGAGGGAGCCTCAGTTGGGGAATTGCCTCTATTGGACTGGCCTGTGGCCATGTCTGAAGGGCATCTTCTTGATGAGTGATGTGGGAGGGCCCAGCCCACTGTGGGTGGTGCCACCCCTGGGCAGGTGGGCCTGTGTTGCATAAGAAAGCAGGCTGAGCGGGCTCCAAGGGAGCAAGCCTGTAAGCAGCGTTCCTCCATGGCCTGTGCTCCAGCTCCTGCCTCCAGGTTCCTGCCCTGAGTTCCTACCTTGGGCTCCCTGATGAACTGCGACCTGGGAGATGTAAGACAAATAAACCCTTTCCTCCCCAAGTTGGTACTGGTCAGAGTGTTTTGTCACAGCAATGAAGAAACAAACTAGGACAGAACTCAAAATAGTTCTTTCGGTTGTGATAAAGGTTTGGCTGTCTACAGCACAGCAATAGTAATAGAATCCTAGAACAAGTAAGCTTAGCTTATTGGAGGAATATTAACCTGTGAAGAACAGGCCAAAGGAGCGAAATCCTCAGAAGCAACAGTATGAAATGAAGTGGAGAATTTAATGTCCTATGAACAGAAATGGAAAGAGCGAGTGATCAAAGTTAGATAGGGATTTATGTGGTTCCTGCCTTGAGATCAGCTCTTGGAAACCAAGTTCCTCAACAAAGGGGTAAAGAGGGAAGACTATAGTACTTGTAGAGGAGTGTAGCCTGAGAGGATCTTGTCCACATTTCAAGGATTTTATCCACACTTTATTAACACGGGAGAAACTTGTGCCTTTTTTTTGTGAGGTTGAAGGTAGAGGCCATGGGGACATGAACTAGGATAATTCATGGAGCAAGGCCACAGAGAGAGGGTGAAGAAATTAACCCAAGCCATAGTTCACAGGATTGATCTTTGCAGAGTTGTATTTTAACATTCTCAGAGAAGGGTTTGCATATGGAATGCATAGGGGAGTATGACAATCTAATTGGTTTTCTCTGCTACCTCACAATTTGAATGATACAAGGGTGTTGCTGATCGTTTTGCAGTTGCTGTCAGAAGTACAGAGAGGGGAGCTAGGTTATAAGAAAGCCCAGTAGCCTAGGTGAGTCAGACTTAGAGATCTATGAACATATTTTCCCTTCCTTCTTAGTTTTATTCACATGTAAGTCCAGCAGGTGGCACTAGATATTCTTGGAAAGGTTTTGTTTAATAAATTTCTTGAAAGATGGATTATCTGCTGACCTTTGACACCTTTAACAGCTGAGAGTGTTGTAGCAGCTGGTTCATTTGCATTTAATCTCAGACCTATTTAATTTGAGCAGTACTCTTAAGTAGTGGGATAGATCTCTCTCTTCAAGTTCCCCACCCATAAAAATGTCATAAGAGCAGGTCAGAACTACCTGACATGACTTTTGTCCATGCTTAAATAATACCTTTAATTATCCTAGCCCTCTATTCAAAGCAACCCTCTTCAAAAAACCCTCCCATAAAACCAAAGTTGTGTAATTGGAATGAAAGTTGCTTGGTTCAGATTCCTATCCTGCTGTGCCAGGGCCAGTGATTAGATTAAGCCCTCCTCCAGAGAGACTGATACCTGGTTCTCAGATGGTGCCAGTCCAGTTTGGACTTGGCTGATAAACAGCATGGTGGGAGGGCAGCTTGCCTTCCAGTTTGTCCTTGTGATGATATTATCACTAAATTTCCCAACTCTTGATTTCCTTAACTATAAAGGTGAGTAAGCTGTTCCTTCTTCTCTGATTATAATAGGTCATAATAATAACACTTGGTATTATTCTTATCCATCAAAGTTTTGCCTGTGTATTGCCTTGGGGCTGTTATGATGTAAAAGGCAAGCGTAGGTACAGGCGGGAGCTGGTGAGGCATCTATACCAATTTGCTTTCTTTAGACTGAATAACAGAATTCCCTTTTCCTTGGTTGCGAGCAGTGTTGCTCAAAAAACATGTACTGAGGAAAGAAGAGAAGCTAAGGGAAGAGAAAAAGGGTCAGAGGAAACATGGTTAGAAAAATGTAATTAATTAAGCTCATAAATTTTAGGTTTCAATTGATCATGGATGTGTTTCCTCTTATACAAAATGGCTTTCCTCCATGGCCAGATATTGCACTCCTAACCCACCTTTGGAAATTTACATAACTAGTGAATCGAGAAGAATGTGTATTTTATTGTCACAGAGTTGCTGTAAGGGTGAGTTGAGGTAGTATTTTTTAAAATGTGCCTACAGTGACACGTCTCACAAGAATCAAATAGTACTAATTTCTAATTAGCTCCCTAAAAAATCAGAAAAGACAGAGCTGCGATGTGAAGGTAGAAGAGCCTTCTGCGGTCGAGTGGAGGCTTGGCTTCTCTGCACCAGGGGAAGGCTCCCTGGCTATTCTTACAGACTTCTGTAGTCACAGGTCGTCTACTTACGTAGTGGCTGGCTGCTTTTGTGCTTCAGCAGGAAGCTGAATATTTAGGCCAGAAAGCACAGAGGCCATAAAGTCTGAGATACTGTAGTTTCTGGCGCTTTAGAGAAAAAGGCCACCAACGCCTGAGCTATCTTATTTTCTTATTTTCCTCGCTTTTTTCTTCAGTGTAAAAGTTCTTAAATGAACCTTTTAAAATTAAAAATTAGAACTATTTGCAAATTAGGACTCTGTTTTGACTACAACTAAAAAACAGTGGGAAATTGCCCCCTGCTTCTACTCTGTTTCAATGGAAGCACTTCCACAGGAAAAAATCCAAATGTTCTGCTCTTGTCTGTAACTACTGCCACATCCACTGTAGAATGTCATTACATTCCTAAGGTCTTGTTCATCAAAGACTTGGCTGTAGGGAGATGCTTCTTCCCAGTGTGCTTGCTAAGACCAGCAGCTCTGACTTGGATCACAGTAATCAATCCATTGAAATCCACGATCGAAATCAACTCCTCCTAATCATCTAGAAAATGTTTTCATGAATAAACATTGAATAGCAGCCTTCTATATGAAGATAGGTCTAACTCAATATTCTGTCATTAGTGTTTTTATCTTATGAGACGTGATCTTCTGATCATTTTCTACCCCACTTGAGGCTTGTCTCTGTTTTGTGGGGAACCTTTAGGGATACCATGTTTTTGAGAAGACTGAAATTAGATACAGATTTTATTTGGGGTGATGATCTAGAGGTTTCTAAATACATTTCTGATATGAATAATCTGACTTTCATAACTGAGGTAAAAGATACAATAAAATCATACAAATAGATTTTTCACATAAACTATCACAGCATATGGAAGTTTAACATACAGAGTTAGCACTTCATTGTTGGAAGATTTTTCTGTAAGTTTCTAAAGTCAGCATTTCAATTGCCTTTTCCAGACCATATTTGAAGATGTTAGTGGTTTTGGTGCCTGGCATCGAAGATGGTGTGTTCTCTCTGGAAACTGTATCTCTTATTGGACTTACCCAGATGATGAGAGGCGAAAGGTAATTTACACAGCTTTCACAATTAGTGAAACTCTTAATGGGCTTTTTCTTCATGCAAATGATCCCTTGTTCCCACCCCTTATAGTCTCTGTATGCATTTACTGAACCATTGAGATGTAATCAGGCATGGTGATGCATACCTTTAATCCTAGCAACTTGGAAGGCAGAGGCAGGTGGATCTCGGTGAGTTCAAGGCCAGCCTGGTCTACATAGTGAGTTCCAGGTTAGCCAGGGCTACATAGCAAGATCCTATCTTAAAAAGGTAAAACAAGGCCAGGTCTGGTGGCACATGCCTTTAATACCAGCATTCAGGAGGCAGAGGCAAGTGGATTTTTGTGAGATTGAGGCCAGTCTGATCTACATAGTGAGTTCCAGGACAGCTGGACTATGGGAGACCCCATTAAAAAAAAAAAACAAACCCTAAAACCATAACAAAGGTGTTCTTGTTACAGGCTGTGTGTGTGTGTGTGTGTTTAAATTCCATAACCTATACATTCCTTATGATTTGACCTCAAGCCAGGCGTGGTGGTGCACGCCTGTAGTCCTAGCACTTGGGAGGCAGAGGCAGGTGGATCTCTGTGAGTTCAAGTCCAGCCTGGTCTACATAGCGAGTTCCGGGACAGCTGGGGCTACAGGGAGACCCTGCTTCAAAAAGACAAAACAAAACAAAAACCATTCTTTAAGGTATATATTTTCCTCTCTTTTCTCTTGAAATGTTTCATAATATTTTTGTTGACATTTTTAGTTATTAAATTTGATATTTTATTAGCTAATTTACGTACATCTCAGGTAAACCAGTGATGGAAAATGAACCACAGGAATACAATGATTTTAGATTTGTTTGTAAAACTTCATAGGATTTTGTATAAAAAATTCTATTTTTTAATGAAAAATATGTAATTTCCAAGCGGAAAAAAATTAGGAATAAACAGGATTAGGAAGGAAAATCATCTATAACAGATAATAGATATCCATATTTTGGTTGGGTACCCACCCACAGTTAAAGAAAAATATAATAGTTGCTATATAACCAGTTATGAAACTTTTCCTTTGCCTTCTTACTACCATCTTCCCAACCAGTGCTAGAGAATGAACCCAGAGCTTTGTATTTTGTACACTTGTTAAGGCAAGTGTTCTTTTTTTTAAAAAAAAAATTTATTTATTATTTTTATTTTGTGTTTATGAATGTATTGCCTGCATGTATGTGAGTGCACCCGTGTCGTGCAATGCCGTGGAAGTCAGAAGAGGGCTTAGGATTCTCCTGGAACTGGAGTTAAGGACAGTTCATAGCTACCATGTGGGTGCTGGGAATCAAACCTGGGTCCTCCGCAAGAGCAACCAGCACTCTTAACCGCTGGGCCATCTCTCCAGCCCAAGATCCCCAAACTCTTATGAATCTTTTTCAAACACAAACAAGCACTTTTTATAATTAATTTGCATTTGATAACATATCCATATGTTTCCAAATCAGTAGGTTTGTCTATAATGTTGTTTAAATTACATGACATTGTAGTCATTAAAATTACTATTTTGGGGCTGGGGAGATGGCTCAGCAGTTAAGAGCACTGACTGTTCTTGCAGAGGACCCAGGTTCGACTCCCAGCACCCACATGGCAGCTAACAACTATCGGTAACTCCAGTTCCCGG